TATAGGATGGACAGCCAGTCAGAAGATTTTAACTAGGCACGTTCACTTCTTAAAGGAGAGAACTGTCAATCCAGTTTTAAACTTAAGTAAGAGAAAGACTGTTTTACTATATGCTAAAGCTTTTTAAAAGGTTTAGCACATTCCAGTCACATCCTGGGCAGGGGGGTTGTGGGGAGAAGGGGGAGGAAGAATCAAAATCACTGAAAGACACACACACACACGAAGATTTTAACTAGGCACGTTCACTTCTTAAAGGAGAGAACTGTCAATCCAGTTTTAAACTTAAGTAAGAGAAAGACTGTTTTACTATATGCTAAAGCTTTTTAAAAGGTTTAGCACATTCCAGTCACATCCTGGGCAGGGGGGTTGTGGGGAGAAGGGGGAGGAAGAATCAAAATCACTGAAAGACACACACACACACACACACACACACAAAAATATCGAAGGGGGCTCATGAATGTAGATAATACAATATTTGTTGTTTCACTCTGTTCCCACCATCTGTCCTTTTCAATACACTAAATATCACTGAGAAAAGCATACAGCTGTAAAATGTAACACCATGGGAACAAACATCCATATAAAAAATACACCACAAAATCTGTGGATACATTTTCATAACAAAGTGCAGAGTCAGACAAGGAGAAATATGGCTTGCAGAATTTATACCACAAACCAGGAAAAAGGGGAACTGAAAGCTAGTATGTGGGGGTGGTGTTTTGGCTGCAGCATGCCATATGGCCAAGGAGGAAACTCAGTTGTCTAAACCAACATTAACTGAATTGACTTGCATACAAAGTCAATGCAAAATGACATTAAAAAAATGAAATGAGAAAGGAAATGAAAAACAACATTAAACCATCGTCTTTTCTTGATGTTGGCTGGAGGAGACTTAAAAAGGCATCTTGGCTAAAACTATTTAATAGTCAGTTTTATCGGGCAGTTAAGAGTTGGAGCCTATTTAAAATGAGGACACTTTTTCTTTTCTAAAAAAAGTCTGCAAGCACAAATGCTGTTTAAGAACAAGAGTTTAATTTAAACATTTGATGGGACTCTTGCGTGAATTAGGTCGGGGAAAGGAAACTGGAATGTACAAGCCAGGTGATCACACCATCAAACTGTTTACGTCTTATACACAATGTATTTGACTTACCTAAAACGTTGAGCCTGCTGAGCTAGAGGTCCTGGATACCTTCTGTTTGGAGACTGGTAAAGCTGAGAAAGGATGGCCTGGTTGGTTTTTTGGCTTGGATTGTTAGCAAACTTTACAGTGATGGGCTCTGTGGCACCTGGAGGTTTTTGGCCATTCAAGCCTTTGATAGCTTCTTCTGCTTCAATCCGCTTGTCAAATCGGATGAAGCCTACACCCCTTGATACTCCTGTGTAGGGTGAAGAACACACTAGTTGTTTGATGCCAAGCCTTGCAACCTGAATGAGTTTCTGTAGGTTACTAGAACTAAGCATTACTATTATGCTCGGAGCAGCACATACCTAGTTCTTGTAAAAAGTACAAAAATATTAATTCTACCCAAATTTCAGTATGTACAGATGTAATAGACTACACAGCACTTCAGTACTAGTTTGTATAGAAATGATACTAATGTATTTAGAGGTGGGGCTAAAGGGGGAAAGACACAGCAAATCCATCCAAATACAATTCAAAGTTAAGAACACGTACTTTAAAATTATATATCAAAATATATATATATTTTGAAGTATCAGCTGATTCTAGTTTTACCTTATAACAGTTCCTTGTGTAGTGGTGGAAAGGTGGGGCAGGGGGATTGAACTGTGCTAGGCACCTTTCAGGCATCTGAATTCAACAGAATCTAGTGGTTTGCTCCCTAACAGCAAGGGATAACTTCTGTGCTTCTACAGCACCTGCTCTGACCAATGTAGGGATGGCACTTGAGCAAAAATGACTGAACTTTTAATATACATAAAAATGAAGCACAAGTTCTGGGTTGCAGTCACATTAATTGCTGTGATATTAGCATTCAGTATTTATACTCCTATAACTTGATGCTCAGTTTAAGATTGGAAGGAGCTAATCCAAACTCTCCATAGCCACAGATTGTTCATGATTAGTTGAGGAAGGAATAGGTGACATGGAAATACCTCCAAGGGGTGCGGAGTAAGAGGTATAATTATACAGCTGGTAAAGAGAAGCAATGTGCATCAGCCAAGAGTTATAAAGAAATAAGGGAACACAGAGCCCAACACCACACAAAATGGCTCAAAAAAAACTTATTGAAAAAGGAAGAAACTTGCAACTGAATAAGCTAGAAACATCTATTCACAGGCTTATTACATATTGATTTATCAGTGAAGAGACACGAAAATTTAGACGTAAAAACGTATTCTGTTCATAAACAATGACAACTTAAGCTATCAAAATGACAAAGAACAAGAGTAAAGAAGTTTTAAGAGCTGAATGTCACAGCCTCAACGTTGCATTGCTCATCTGTCAGTTTGTGTCAGCCTTATTATTCAAGCCATCTTGAATTGAACTCTTTCTTCCTCCTTCAAAATAGTTTTAAAAAGCCAAAATGCCTGCATAATACTTCTCCAGGAATAGACAGTTCACATTAAGGTTCATGAAAAATGTATATTTACAGTGAGCTGCACACTGTGTATATTTACACATTTTAGAAGTGTATTCTCCTGTATATTTTGACATTTACCAGGCCATACATATTTTTTGCACCTGGATACACAAGACATTAAGTGAATAGAACCAGGGACTACAAATCTGAGCTCTAACTCTGACTAACACTACATCTACTGACTAGTAATAATACCTATAACTAAATTAGTTCATGCTGTTACAAAATTACATAAATTCTAGTGGTCACATATTAGATAGCTTCTAATAAGATAATGAAGTCAATAACAGAAGTTGCTTTCAACAGGTGATTCAATGAACATTTAAGTCTTATAAAATATTTGTACACACACCACCTTAAAACTGGTCTTTGTGAAACAAGCTCCTACCATATGCAATTCTAATACGTTTTTTACTGTAATTGTAGATTAAATACTGGTTTTGCAATTGAGATCTCACAAACTTGTTTTTGCTTTTCTTCTATATTTACTGACTTCAAATCTTCTTGTTTAGAGGACAAATTAAAGTCAAACGCAAAAGGAAAAATGGTCCTTTCCCAAGATCTTGGAAGATTAACATTGATGTTACTAAGCTGACACCATGGAAGAACATAGTATTAAAAAGGTGTACTGAGACTGGAGGTAGTGAAAAAAAAAGGGAAGAAAGGGCCTGCAAGTTTAGACAATTGAGAATCCTTATTCTAATCTCCAGCCCCATTCACATATTGGATAAATACATTTCTACGGAAATGCTGCCTCTTTTTATAAAAGGTGATAACCTTTATAGAGAAGCCATGCTATAGACAAAGATAAACTAGTTACTACTGCTTCTGAAATTGAGAACAGTTATTTGAGCCATCATGAATACATAAAACACAGATACTTGTGCATACCTGACCACAAAAAATGCGCCATGAGACACTTTTTCCATCCATTCTATATTTAAGAGGCGTGTGGTAATAATGTAAACCTAACCTACCAGAGTTTACTTTGCTTTTTAAAAGTACTACCAAGCAAAGAATGTTATCTGCTTTTTTAAAAAACTCCAAATTCATATTCTTCAGTGTGCCCATAGTTGATGAAGCAACCTTGAAAACAGTTTTAACAGCAATTACCAGTTTGGGTCTTGTGTAATCCTAGCCTCAGAGAACCAGCTGTGCATTTCTGCATTAAAAAAAATGTATTTTTTTTTCATAAGAAAGATTGTTTATTAGCATTTTATAAGGAGCATGGGGACTATTTCCACGCAGCAGCTTGGAAATGAAGATTATAGCAGCTGTAAATTTATTACAAGCCATGAAACAGGCTTCAAACCTGCACCTTCAGGGTGGAAATGACTCAGGCTGGCTCACTACACTCCACAATCTATTTTTGTCCATGCATATTTATGAACAATTCCAGCAGAAAATTGCATTTTCTGGCCCACATATACCTTTGATATGTTCTGGAGGCAAGACTGCTGTATTGGAAGGTGAAATATTTCACAACCTGCCAGTCTGAGAAAGTGAAAGAGACAGCGCAGAACAGCTGCTTACTTACCAGTGACTTGGTCAACTAGAATACGAGAAGTAATAATGCGTCCATATTGGGAGAAGAGCTGCTCCAGTTCCTTTTGGGTCATTGTTTTTGGAAGCCCACTGACATACAAATTTGCATCTCTGATGGAAGCTGAACTTGGTCGTGCATACGAAACCTCAAGAAAAACAGAACAGCTTTAAATTATTTTTGTGATAACTGTGTAAGAGTAATGAGACAATGTACACCTTTTATTTATTCAAAACAATGAAATGATTTCAAACTAAAAAAAAACATTATTTGACAAAGCTACTTAAAAATCATTTTCTAAAAAGGCAAATATCAAAAGAATGCAAAAAACAAGGAATACTTATCGACTATACCACATCAGGTCTATTTTATTTTTAAACAGTAAACTACAGCAAAGCAGGGAAAGACGAGATGAATCAACTTGTGAAACTCAGCAGCATATATTTGTTTGGGGTGGGGGAGGGGGGTGACTGGGGGAGAAGAGGGGTAGGCAGGGGAAAGGAGGGTAAGAGAAAAAGAGAGAATTTTTAATCATGAAAAAGCAAATTTTACATTCTTTTCATTAAAATTTCAAATCCTCTTACATACTGAAACCTAAAAAGTTAAAATATTGATATCAAGTTCATAAATGTGTTGAAATAGAACATACAAGGCATTTGCAGCTTTGCTAAGTGCTAACCTAACCCTACTGTGCACTTGTCAGGCTAATCTCCCAAATAAAATACAAATCATTTCTAGATAAAAACTTGGCTGAAAACACTGCAAACATTTTACCTCTCTTAAAGGTAAGGTTTTTATGTATACCTTGACTATTCATCCTGTTCAACCGAATGCCAAAATGACAATAGGCATTTAGATTCTCCTGGACATCAGATTGTGGTGGCAACGGTCAATCTTCCTGGATCATGGTGTATGCATGAGGGCCACCCAGACCTTTGATGCATATGCCTGGGCAGGAATTTTTGGAGGAGCGGAGGCTAGACATCAGATACTAGGAATTCGAACCACATACTTTATGAAGGAGCACTCAAAAGGAGAAGAAACAAAAAGCATGTCCCCTAGCTACAAAAGAAGAAAATATCTGCCAAGATTTTCAAGTATGACTGTGAATACGTCAGCAAAAATGATGAACACCCAATGGTTCTTGTTAAATGCTATATAGATCATTTATCACCTTTGTTGTTCAGTACATGGCTCGAGTGAAGCATATACACAAACCAGAAGAGGTGACAACGCATCATTTATCCTGTTTTAAAGTTAAGCCTACCTATGGCTAAAACTTGTTCCCGCATCACTTTTGATCAGTTTCCTGCATGGTCACTTAGCAGTTATCCAATCCTAAAACCCTAGAGACTGTGCTATTTTGGGTTCCACCTTCAAAAAATTAAAAATTGGTTAGGACTGATTTTCTACTCCTTTGTGCCAGAACTTCAGAGACAAAATGTATGTGAACAAGTCTTCCTTGTATTCCAACCCCCCCCCCTGCAAAAGACTGTCTATTTTTTAAAGTGAGGACATACTGTGGATCCCAACGAAGCTTCTGGGCATGCAAAAATATCTGTTACAAATACATATTTAAGTCAAAAAGGAGAGAGACGAGTGTGTTCCAGTGCATATGCAGATTATACAGGACTATAGTATCTGCATTTTAGATAAACAGGAGTACCTATCCTCTGCCATAATACAAGCCTGCCTAAACTTATGAACGTTTTCTTATTTGTTTCTAATCTTTATGGTGGGTAGTATTTTCTGCCCATTTTAAAAACAGGTCCAAAGCATCAAGCATGCCAACTTTCAGTTGGCCTGCACACAACTTCCATATGTGTTTGAAAATCTTCCCCACCAAGTCTGTTTCATTGGGGTTTGGCGGTTGGGCAATTGCTAGGAGTAGCCAACGACAGAGCACTGGAGTGGGACTAAATCATCTGCATTATCATCTTCTAAATTTGGTTACTGACCTGCCACGTAAGCTTGTACAAAACAGTTCACTCCCCTGTACCCCAGACCCTCATCTATGAAAATTATACTTACCTCCTATATAAAAATGTATTTATTTGAGATCTACAGGTAAACAGCGCCAAAAAGGAGGTAGGTAGCATTACATGACAAAATAAGCTTTCCTGCAAAGGAGTTACCTTGAAGTTATGCTATTTCAAACACTATGAAATATCGTAACTGCATGGAAGTCAGTAATTTTCCTTGTTACAGGAATCTAAAATGTGAACATCTCAGTAAGACCAATCAGCACCACCAATAAAAATGTGTCCGGTTGCACAGAACAGGGAAAGAATGAATGCCTTAAGAAAGCTCTGTTAAACTGTAGTGTTAGTTTGCCCTTCCAGTTAACCAGCAAAGTAAGTAGAGATTAAAAGAGCAGTCAAAAGTGAGCACTGCATTATTCCGAAGTGGCACCTACATGAAGTTCTAATTCTACAAATCGCAGATCCACATTCTAGATCAAGGGCAGCCAATCAGCAGCATGAGCAGCCTGCATGTGGCATTCTGCACACCAGGGAAGGAACAGAGAGAACAACAACAGATCAGGCAGGGAGCAATTAGAGTGGCAGATGAAATCAGGGAAGGGATAAACATAGTATTCAGGGAGGCTGTGGGGCTTAATTTGAGCATGCTTATGAAAAAGGTTGGCCCCACAACTGCAGATATTTTCCCTTTGTATGCTAGTCAACTTTTATACTGGTATTAAGGTTGCAATAGTAGAATTGATTATGACCTTTTCATGGCATCACATAGAAGCTCTACATGCACCAAGTATTGGTAACAATTTCTATGTTTTTTTGTGGGGGGAAACAACAGAGCAGAGATGGGGACAGATAAACAATAAGCTGGAATGCCTTTTGCAGTAGATTCACTACTCCATAGAAATCTTAATTCATGAGCAATTTTATCCATGTTAGAAAAAGTGACAGAGGAATGTTACTGAAATCTTTTTGCCAATCATGCTAAGGTGTACCATGCCCTCCCTCAGGGGAACACCTGCAAAGTTAAGGACCAAAATTACTACTAACTGAACTGAAGAAAATGTTAGAAGAAAGCTCTTTCAATTAAGACTTAGACAAACTCCTCCATGACCGCTTCAGGCTGGACATAAGGAAGAATCTCTTTACTGTCCGAGCCAAGGTCTGGAATAAACTGCTGTCGGAGGTGGTTCTAGCACCTACTTTGAGACATTTGGATGCTTACCTTGCTGAGATCTTATTACCACAGCTGATTTCCTGCCCCTGGGGCAGGGAGCTGGACTTGAAGATCTTCCAAGGTCCCTTCCAGCCCTAACGTGTATGAAATATATGAAACTTGGAATTGGGGTAACTGGCTCCAAACTCTACAATAGACTAGATGACAACAATGTCAAGGCATTTTGCTTCTGTAAAGAATGGGATTGAGGTGCCCCGAGAAAAAAAAAAAAAAAACACCTCAAGAGCTGAATGCAAAACACTCAAATGTTATTACAATGGGGCCACTAAAAATGTATTCTATAGCAGGTTCTGTACCTGCAGGATTTATGCACCACTCCAAAACCTTGTTTTTCATTGCAAGTAAATTGTTTCTAGCTTCTACAGTTTGCTTAGCACTGGAAAATACAAGGATATTGGCTTCTCAAATGTGCCGACAATCTGGGGAGAAAAAGTTTGAGAGAAAATTGGGCCAATAATCTTAGAACAAGACAAAAAGGAGAGAGAAAACCACTATTTGTAAACTAGTTAACTAACATAGCGACCCCCAACAGGAAAAAACTAATTGCAAAAGGCTTCTCAGGCATATATTTTGATGGGAGGAAAGTTCCAATCCAGCCTGACAAAAAAATTTATGGGATCAGAGGCCCAGAAAATTAAAATACCCTGCTTGGAAAATAGCAAAAAAAAAATAAACACCTTGTTGTTAAGAAAATAGCCACTGCAGTAAATAAATCTGGAGTAATTTCAGATCTATAAAATCCAGTTCTGTGGAGACAGGCTATCTTATGATTATGCAAAGAACTAGCAGTACTTGTAAGAAAAAGTGAAACCAGAAGTGCCCATCGTGGCACTTCTGGTTTCTCTGAGCCCCACGGCAAAGCAGCCTGCACTGCCAAGCCCCCACGGTCCAGGGGCATAACAAGTTATGTGGGGCCCTCCTCCCTGTCCCACATGGCCCCACGGGACGAGCAGCAACGCGGCAGGAGGGACATAATGCTGCGGGGGGGCCAGAGGGACACCCTAGACATGGCAGGAGAAGCGGCGGCTGAGGCCTCTCAATTAAACAGCATATTTTGTTATCCGGCATCCCCCATTCCCAGGGGATGCCGGATAACAGAGCTTTTACTGTAGTTTTAAAAAAAATCAGCTAAAATTCTATAACTTCCATGTGTCAGGTATCTAGGTTGTAGCCATATTAATCTAGAAGTCCTGAGTGCAAAGACCAGGTAACGCATTTTTCTAAGGGTCAGTGTTTTCCTACTGAATATACTATACATCTCCAGCTGAGCTAAACCCAAAAACCTCAAAATACATGGATTGCTGCTGCTTCTTGGTAAAAAGGAACTTTTGAACCATTTCACAGAAGCAAAATTTATAAAATAATGGGCAGACAAGGTTCCTTGGGTGAATTTGATATCTTTTATTAGACCAACCCAAATGGTTGGAGAATAGTTATTAAGCAAGCTTTCGGGTTCAAAAACCCTTCGTCAGGCTCAGGAAGCTACAGCAGTTGGTGTGTGCTCTTCCTGGATGGAATGAAAAGTCAAGAAGCCAGGGGCTGGGCTGGGCGGGGGAGTCAGTTGCCAGGCAGATTATAATGTATCAAAAATCCAATGTCTATGTTTAGTCCCTGATCTCTAGTATCCAGCAGGTTGATGAAATGGAGCTCGTAGGCTCGTCTCTGGGATGTGTTGTGTAAATTTCCCTTGAGGATCAGGACTGAGAGATTGGAGAGAGAGTGGCCCTCCTGTGAGAAATGTGCCCCCACCGGCAATTGGGTGTTTCTGTCTTTGATGGATTTCCGGTGTGCATTCATTCTGGTGCGCAGTTGTTGTCTGGTCTCTCCTACATATCTTCCATCAGGGCATTTGGTGCATTGGTGTGGGGTGTAGGAATAGTGGGGGTGGTGGAGATGTGGGGGCAGGTTTTGCATTGCTTGTCATGGCACGGTCTG